TGACTATTAAGAGGCTACTGTAATCCAGGCTGATACTAGCTTGAAGTAAGATGCCACAATTTACATAAGTAGAAATATATAAAGCTCTACTATAGAGGCAGAGTGATAGTAGGACTATGAAGGAAAGGAAGGAAATGAAGAATGAATCCTAGGTTTTTGGCTTGAGAAAACTGGACAGATGGTGCTTCCAATAATGAGAAATATTGGAAGATGAGCAAGTGGTAGGGGAAAGGAAATCAAGATTTTTTCATATGAGTCTATTAATTTTGAGATATCCATTAAGATATCTGAGTGGACATGCAAACAACCCACTCAGAGATATAAAGTCAGGCTTGAAGATAAAAATTTAAAAACCAATAGCATTTAAAGGCACAGAGTTAGATGAGAATCAACTAGATGAAAGAGTACAGATAGAAGAGAGCAAAGGAATAGAATGGAGACCTAAAGCAGCATCTTAACATTGTGAGACCAGAGGATATTTTTTTCAGTTATGATAAAGCCACAGATATTTAAAACAAACATAATATATCATTAGGGTATATATTTAAAAAATATGCCCTGGATTTATGTGCAGTATATATAAGAACATTTATGTTTACAACTGTAAGTGTACGTTATGAGAAAGACTTTTTCATGCATATTAATGGTTATTTATTATAATTGTAACTTCCTGAAAAGGTATTCTGGAATCAGTACACAGGAAGAAAGGATGGAGACAAAGCTCAAGTTTAGTAGCTCCATGAGAAATATTAAACAAGATAATATTTCATGAAAATTCAAAAGTCTGACAATATCAAGGGTAGGTGAAAAGGTATGGAAAAAAGAACTCTCTCATCCATTGCTGCTAAAAACATAAATTAGTAAAGCCTCTTTGGAAAGCAATTTTGTAATTCTAGCAAAATTTAAACCCAGATATTTATCAGCAATTCTACCTAGTATATAATTGTCTTAAACCTTTGTACAAAATTAAAAACAACCTAAATGTTATTCCATCCAGTACTTCAAATGAATGAACTACCTTTACATTTATTATTCAAAATCATGATGATAAACAAGGGGAAAAGATGTGGGCTGGTATATCTAGCATGATGCCATTTATACAAATTTTAAGATTCATAATTGTGGTTTCCTCTGGGGACGATGGGAGAGAAGGGAATGAAATTGAGAAGGGACATTAAAGGAGCTTCAACTTAAGTAATATAAAAGCAGGAAAATATAACAAAATATTAAATTTTATTTGTTCCAGATGACAGGCACAGAAGCATTTAATATATTATCCTCTATGCTTTTATCTTCGTAACTGGGGAAAAGAGAGGCCATGCATACACTGCTTTATTTATAGGAGAAAAAAGGCAAAATAAGCAAAGTGTTTTCTGATGTTGATTCAGTAAAGCCAATAGTGAAACATTTTAAAATAAGCTTGTCATAATCAATTTAACATGAATCTTTTCAGCATGTTACAGGAAAAACAGGGAACAAATATGAAACTTTCAAAGCTGGCTATAAGAGTCAAAAGTAATTACTCAAGCTGTTAAAATGACAAATAAGATTACACTATTTCTTTATGGCACTGAATACTCAGCTAGATCAAAAGGCATTATCTAAGTAATATATTCAGTATTTAAAGAAGTAAATTCCTCACTTTAGGATTAACACAACTTGTCTTTATAGGTAAAGATAATCTTAATAATTTTTTAACAAGATGTGGTACAGTTTGTTATGTTTTTTTATTCCTTCCTAATCCATAATTATTCTCTTGAGTATCTCAAAAAAGAAATGAATTGTTAGACATATTTAAAAACCACAAAAATGTTAAAATTAAACATGAAGAAATACCTTCTGAGCCAAACACAAATAAATAATGCATTTGGTACCATCCTGTAAATTTAAAATATTCAGTCTTCTAGCTTCTTACAACAGATAAAATGTATCTATCTAATGATAAATGCACAGAGTAGGTGACAGAAAGCTGAAGATACTCTTTAGTGAAAAATTTCTCCATCATTTCTTTTTTTTTTTTTTTTTTTAGAGCCAGGGTCTTTTCATATTGTCCAGGCTAGAGTCCAGTGATTATTACAGGTGTAGTTATTACAAATTGCAGCTCCAAACTCCTGAGCTCAAGTGATTCTCCCACCTCAACTTCCCCAGTAGTTGGGACTACAGGCACATGCCACTACGCCCAGCTTCTCCAGAATTTCTGAATCTGTATTCAATCTAATATCCCAGTCACTTTCTTACCATTGTCAAAGAACTATCATTCTGAGTTACGACTTCCTAATTTAATGAAAAAATGCTCATCATCCTTAATCATCAGAGAAACGCAAATCAAAACCACTTTGAGATATCATCTAACTCCAGTAAGATTAACCCACATTACAAAATCCCAAAACTACAGATGCTGGCCTGGATGCAGAGAAGGGAACACTTCTACACAGCTGGTGGGAATGCAAGCTAATATGACCTTTTTGGAAAGAAGTTTGGAGAACACTCAAGGAACTAAATGCAGACCTACCATTTGATCCTGCAATTCCTCTACTAGGTATATACCCAAATTATTTTCTAATAAAGACATCTGCACCAGAATGTTTACTGCAGCCCAATTCATAATAGCCAAGACATGGAAACAGCCCAAGTGCCCATCGACCCATGAATGGATTAACAAATTGTGGTATATGTACACCATGGAATACTATGCAGCCATAAGAAAGATGGAGACTTCACATCTTTTATGTTAACCTGGGTGGAGCTGGAACATATTATTCTTAGAAAAGTATGTCAGGAATGGAAAGAAAAGTATCCAGTGTACTCAATACTACTATGAAATCAATATATAATCACCTACACACTCATATGAATGGTAAAACGTAACTATAGTCCAGAAAGTAGAAGAGAACAGGAGAGAGAGGGGAGGGGAGGGGGGCTATGGGAGGAAGGAGGGTATTTGGAGGGACCTTACCTAATGTACATGATGCAATAGTATATTTCAAAACTATTAAGAAATGAGCGTAATTGTGATGGATGTGTTACTTAGTTCAATGTAAGCATTTCACATTGTATACTGAAGCAGTACCCTGAACCCTATAAATGCATCAATGTACAAAGTTATGATTTAATAAAAATAAAATAAAATAAAATAAAATAAAAAATAAGACTTCCTCATTTAAGGCCAGGCACAGTGGCTCAAGCCTATAATCTTAGCACTTTGGGAGGCTAAGGTGGGTGGACTGCCCTGAGCTCACAGGTTCAAGACCAGTCTAAGCAAGAGTGGGATCCTGTCTCTAAAAATAGCCAGGTGTTGTGGCAAGTGCTTGTAGTCTCAGCTACTCAGGAGGCTGAGGCAAGAGAATCGTTTAAGCCCAAGAGTTGGAGGTTGCTGTGAAATTTGACGGCACAGCACTCTACCAAGGGTGACAAAGTGAGACTCTCAAAAAAAAAAAAAAAAGATTTAACTTAAAAAATAAGAAAAGAAACCAACTGGATGTACAATTTAACCTATAGCTCAAGCCATCACTAATGTGGAAATAGATACCTGTGAAAGACCACAAATAGCATGGTGCTAGATAATGAAAGAAAATAAAATGGTGTTTATTTTTATTTTAAATATCATGGGTTTTTAAAAGTCATCTAAAATTCATAGTTCACATGTATGCTGAATACCCATTATGTGGGCTGCAGATTCCTAAGATGTGAGGAAGCATTAGGTAGACAGTTAGCCATAGGGCAGAAAAGGAGGTAGCTGAAAGCCAAAGCCACCCAGCTTGGTTTAAAATTTTCCCTGGGAAAATTTGCTCTTGGCCAAGGCTTGGAGGAAACTTGTCTTCATCCTCCCTCTCATATACAGGCCGGCCTCTTACCCTTACAACTCAATTCTTAGGTCACTCGATAACATTGTTCAATATATCCTAACTTCCAAACAAAGTAGATTTTTATTTTTACTTTGAAAACAATGGCAAAAGAAATTAATAATAAAATAATTATTACTACTTTTTGCATTAGATCTAACTAAGACAATACAAAAAATAAAAATTAGGGTCAGTGGCTCATGTTTGCAATCCCAGCACTTTAGGAGACATAGGTGGGGGGATAATTTGAGGCCAGAAGTTTGAGATCAGCTGGGGTAACACAGTAAGTCCCTCTCTCTACAAAAATCTAAGTATTAGCTGAGTATGGTAGTGTGCTCCTGTAATCCCAGCTACTTGAGCAATGGGATGGGAGGATTACTTGAGCCCAAGAGTTTGATACTCCTGTGAGTTATGATGACATCACTGCACTCTAGTCTGGGTGACAGAGTGACCTATACCTTAAAAAGAAAAAAATAAAAACCAGTGCTGAGTTCTTCCTTTTCAAGGAAACCCATATTGATAATATAGTGACATTATCTGCATTATAAGGTGGCTATAAAGTAATTGCAGTCTTACCAAGTTGATTCTTCATACCCATAAGCACCGAGTTCATATGAGCTTTGGATGCATAGAGTTTGCTCACAGCCTTCCTGGACCTGATCATCTCCTTGGCCAAAACTACACAGACATCCTTCTGGCCCTTCTTGGCAGCATCTTTCACAGATCGTTTCACTTTTTCTTCTTCTCTTTGGATATCTAAATTTAGAACAAAACACCATAATCAAGGGTAAATCACATTAATTGAAAATAAATCTGAAATCCATTCTTAATATGATATAAATGTGTCTATTAAAAACACAGGGGAATATAAATGAAATCAAAATAATGTGGTAGACACTCGTCATTTCTAGAAACATTAAAGTAGTTTAAAAGTCAAAAGAAAAGTATGATTCCATTATACTTGACAAAATTTCAAAACACCTTTTGCAAAACCATTCAAACATTTGTTGATACTGCTCTAAGGACTTTAAAAATTATCATAAATGCATTCCCGAGCTTATTCCAATAAGCAACAAGTAGTATTTCTACTTGTTGGAATTACAGAAGTACAATTTTCTTTTTCTTTTTTTTTTTTTTATTGAATGGCAACAATGTACATTTTTTTTTCTCATTAAACTTTGTTTTAATGGGTCTCAAAATTCTGTGACAGATTTTTGGTCATGTTGTTTCCATTAAAAAGTACTGATTTTAAAAACTAATAACTTAAAATTGCCACACAGAAAGAAACAAATGGTCCACAAAACATTTTCCTTTCCTTCTGAAGGTTTTACTATGCATTGTTATCATTAACCAGTCTTTTACTATTAAACTTAAACGGCCAATTGAAACAAACAGTTCTGAGACCATTCTTCCACCACTGATTAAGACTGGGGTGGCAGGTATTAGAGATAATATTCATTTAGCCTTCTGAGCTTTCTGGGCAGACTTGGTGACCTTGCCAGCTCCAGCAGCCTTCTTGTCCACTGCTTTGATGACACCAACAGCAACCGTCTGTCTCATGTCATGAACAGCAAACGACCCAGAGGAGGATAATCTGAGAAGCTCTCAACACACATGGGTTTGCCAGGAACCATATCGACGATGGCAGCATCACCAGATTTCAGGACTCTGGGGCCATCTTCCAGCTTTTCACCAGAGCGGCGGTCAATCTTTTCCTTCAGCTCAGCAAACTTGCAGGCAATGTGAGCTGTGTGACAATCCAGTACAGGAGCATAGCCAGCACTAATTTGGCCTGGATGGTTCAGGATAATCACCTGAGCAGTGAAGCCAGCTGCTTCCATCGGTGGGTCATTTTTGCTATCACC